CTTCATGGTCCTTCCTAAAATGTGGAAGGACAGACATGGATAGACTAAAACAGACCCCAAGGAAAACAATCAATAATACCACGTTTTTCCGAAAGTAAGGCCTACCCTGAAAATAAGCCCTAGCTTGATTTTGGGGGGCCTAATATAAGCTCTACTCCAAAAATAAGCCTTAGATTTGGGGTGAGGCACACACTTAAAAATCAAGCTAGGATGGGGGTGGGGGTGGAGCTGCCCCATGCGCCCCACACCCACTTACCTTGCAGCCAGGCCTCTCCTCGCTGGCCTACTTCTTCTGCAGCATCTTCTACAGCCAGGCCTGCATTTCTCAGTCACAGGCCTTTCCGGAAGGCCACTGCAGCTGAGAACCAAGCTATGGATTGAATCCATAGCTCGGTACTCAGCTGCATAGGCCTTCTGGAAAGGCCTGACTGCAAAATTGCAGGCCAGAATGCAGCTGCAGAATGAACTGCTCCTTCGGCCCCAGAAGTAGACCTGCTGGGCGGTCCTGTCAGTGCTGGAGGTAAGACATCCCCCCAAAATAAGACCTGGTGCCTCTTTTGGAAGCAAAAAAAAAAAAAAGGCCCGGTCTTATTTTCAGGGAAACACGGTAGTAAGAATGCTTCTTTTCCGGTCATATTTATAAAACAGCCTTTCTGCTAGTATCTTCCACTTCTTCTGAGCACAATTCTATCAACAGCATCAAAAGCAGAATCAGGGGTCGAGGCAAAAGGAGATGCTGACCAAAATATATAAAGAATATAATGCCATCAGGGTTGCAGAAAATTTGCTACATAAAATTTTAGAAAGAGCCCTATCCCCAATGCAGAAAAGTATAGTAAATGTTACAAAAGAATTATTTTATCCTTTCAGGAAACATATCTGTCACTTCATTATCAGAAACCAAAATACAAAGCTGCTATTCTGTGATAGGCATGTACTGAAAGATTTTGTTACAGATCTTCAGTAGACATAACATTTCACAACCTATCCAAACACAAGGCATGGCACAGAAGTTGATAATAAATCAGCTAGCTTTTAAGAGATCACACATTTGACCATAGACACAAACTTATCATTTCCAAGTCCGTGCTAAAACACATTCTACGTCATCCAAATTTTTCATTTTCACTAATGACTGATTACGATAGGCAAAGGATTCCCGAAACTATGGAGGACAGCTTTGAAGCTATCTAAATCAGATAGCACCTCAAATATTGAGTCATGCTTCATGGTCCTTCCTAAAATGTGGAAGGACAGACATGGATAGACTACAATAGACCCCAAGGAAAGCAATCAAGATAATAAAAGACCTAAAAGGAAAAATTTAGGACAAACACTGAAGATTCATAATGTGTTCAGCCTGAAGAAAAAAATACCGCAGGAAAACGTAATAGTTGTCTCCTAGTATCTTAAAGACGGTATAATTAAGAAGTTGGGTTTAAATTGTTAGAGCTGTTTCAATCAGTTTAAATTACAAGGAAGTATGTTTTGGTTAGACATCAAAATACACTTCTGAATAGTAAGAGCTATTCAACAATAACATAGATTTCCTTGGAACTCTTATTTGCTAAAGATGTTTAAAGACAGCCTGAATTGCCATCTCTCAGGAATTGTCAGGCAAAAAGAACCAGAATGGCACCCTAAGATGAACAGAGTTACCGTATATGCCGGCATATTAGGCGACCCGGCGTATAAGACGACCCCCGTCTTTATAGCCGGGCCGCATTCCTAGAACATCGTCTTATACGTCGGAAACTACCAGTATTTCCGGCGTATAAGACGACTCGGCGTATAAGACGACCCCCGTCTTTGGCGCCGATTTCAGCACTCGCGGAAGTCGTCTTATACGCCGGCATTTACAGTACTTCTTTATTGCTGCTAATCTATTTACAAGAATCTCACCAGACTGACAGCATTCTCTTGGGAACAGCAGATAAAGGCTTTAGGGATTTTGGAGGTCAGGTCCTCATTGCTTCCTGCCCACCAAGGACTCTAAGCTTGTCAGCCTCCTCCAACTATAGAAATTCCACAACAGGAATGCTATAGTAGATTCCTACTTAGGTAAGGACCTGAACTAGATGATCTCCAAGGGACCTTTGAACCTTTACAAAGAAGAAAATGGCATACTGTACTAAGTAAGACACAGGGCACTTTGCACACATGGGACGGATCCTTAAATTTTTTTCTAATGAAAAGACTAAAGCTTCCTGAAATTGCAGAGAACTATAAAATGCCAACCAACTTTCAGATACCTTCAGAAGAATCATCTTTAGAAGTTCTCTACAAAAGTAATTATCTGAATCCTCTGATTTTCATAACCATGCAAGCTACAGCTATATTGTTATTAGAGGAAATAAATTACACATTTTCTCAATGTTGCCTAATAAGCCATTGAAAAGCATTGTGTTTCACAGATTCAGCTTCCACTATTAACTGAGAAAATAATCCCAAAATTAACGCAAAGAGAAAGCAGAAGGAAAATCAAGACAGAGCCATAAGTGTTGCTAATTTCAAAATCTACTAATGCAAAGATTACAAATATATCAGTAGAAAAACTGATAAGAACTATTATTTTGCTTTTAATCTGCTTGTCTAGGCTAGAGTAATAGAGCATGCTTACAAAATCAAGACACTGCTCTCCTTTGTGAATCCAGCCTCCCAGCACCTCATGCTCTCCAGTCAGACTGGACTTCAGTTCCAACTCTTCCCAGTCATGGGCCACCAGCTGGGGAAGCCTGCTCTAAACAGAACTGCTGAGATGTAGTAGCATGTAATAGCTGGCTTCCTATACTTCTTTCTAATTAATTCTGTTGAAAGCAATCTTTCACTGACTGAAATAAGAAAAAAATTATTTAAGAAAATAGCATAAGGCTTCAGTACATCAGTCATTAAGTGAGCTGGAACAGGAAGGTCAGTAGCAAGCTTTACTCCTGCACTGGCGTTCCTTTGATATGGGAATACAGTAATCACTTTTAGGAAGAGAGAATGCGGACATTCTTCTTCAACTTGGGCTATGTTTCAAATGTGTATCTAACCAGGTAGTGTGGCCTTTGACTATGTAAGCTGGGAACTATGAAATTTATGCATCAAAAGCCTGTGGCCTTGGTGGCCTGATTTATCATTTATTTCCTGATCAGCATGACTAAGTTTATTTGCTTCTCTCAACTTTGGCCTCTTTTTAAACGATATGCACCCAATCTTCTGGTGACCACGTTACAAGTCAAATTGCAATTCTGTGAGGCTGCTTGGAATATGGTTCTCAGTCCAACTTAATATCTACTGTCTATGTTAGCGGCCACAGTTCCCCTTTTTATGTATTTTCTTCTCTGCCTTTTATTTATGGATTTACATATGGAAATACATTGCACCTACAGTATTTCACTGGGTTGTAGGTTCTTGTGGTCAATGCTTACATCCAGAGATGCTCTGGTCAGGCTAGGGGCCAATTTTGACATGTCACTTTTTTCCAAACTCACTCCAATCTCTGATTGTCTTCGGTTTCAAATTTTAATTCCACTTGAGTTTTATTAAATATAACCATGAGGCTATATTCTATGCTTCAAAGGATAATTGTATATTTTTTCAATAGCACTTTTTATTCTTAATTAATTAATTCTGCTAACATTTAGAATTAAACTTTGTAATTCTTTTAAAATACTCTTGTGCTTCCCTTTTTTTCTTCTTCCAGTAAAAACCAGAATGACCCAGGTGGGAAGCATAAGCTTCTATTAACCACTTTGGTCCACAACTCTGGTTCATTTGAAACAAGTATCACTTTTCTCGTGAATGTACAATGCTAAGCATATCTATTATCACATCTAAAATTGATCATAGCCACTGCCATAGTGAGGTGTTGGATTAAAAGTTGAAACCTAGGAGTGTAGAGTCCACCTACAGCACGGAAGCTCACACTGGGCCAGTCAGTCTCTCTTAGTCCAGGCTATCACACATTTTGGATAGGCTAATGTTAGCATCCCAGTTAGGGTTCATCTCGCCCAATTAAGGGACCCGACTGGATGAGTCATGCCAATTTATGGTTATTTTTATTTGTATTTATAAAAGGGAAACATAAATATAATCCTGTGGAGAGCATAAAACCTTGACATAAATTTTGCTATAGTTTTTAACCAGTATAATATTAATAACATGACATGTTCATTTGTGTTTATGTATATCTTATTGGGTGCATTAATGTTCAATATGCATATGCAACATTTAACATATGATACTTAATTCCTGAAATTTCTGGCCAAAATCATCTGATGAACAACTGGGAAAACTTACTTAGATTAGTTCATATAGAAGTCCATACATCCAAACTATATTATAGAATAGGATAAGGATAAAACAAATTGGAACTGTTGTTCCTGTCTGTTTTTCATTGTAATGTTTTGAGCTATCAAGAAAATGTTGTCAGTTATGACCAAGTTTGAAGAATTTGTTTTAATTCTCTCATTTCAACTTGTTCAAATAAGTTGAAATCTTTATTTCTTCAAGATTAGCTATGTCTGCTGAAGACACAAATTTGTTATATTACAGTCCTGTTCCAATTTAAATTTCAATGTGGACAATCCCACAAAAATATCCAATTCCATAGGTACCATTTCATTTCAATTCATTATTGTACATGAGACTATTGAATTATTCCCTGCTCTTGTATTATGTAACAGTATATGCCATGTGATGAAGAATCTAAACACCATTCCAAGACATCTCAAACAATAATACTGTAAATAAAACATTTTTACACACTACAACTCCAGTTGTAGAATATCAGCTTATAATGCTCACATTCTTCTAGTATAAACTGAAAATATAGCACAAAGCTACAAGATGCAGCTCACATGATTTCAAGATGTCTTTTACATTACCGTATAAGCATACACCATATAAATAAAATCAGATGAACTACTTCTAACTAAACATGTACAGAGGAGGACTGAAAATGTTCCCAGCAAGCTTACAAAACAAAGTCTGTTTTTTTTAATTAAAAAAAAAAGCTACCACATTATAAATCTAATTTTTTCTGCTGATTGCTCAACATACTGTATATCTGTTAAAGATTAGGCAAAGACTCCACAACTTCATAAACATACCAGAACTATAATTTTCCATAGCCTTGCCTTTATCCAATCTTTCAATGAATATCAAGTTAAAATTCTACACAAACAGAATTTTGTTACTTATACAAACTGAGAAAAAAGTGCAGATTTTATTCAGGCTTTACCCCACCTAGAGATTTATAAGAGGACAACACAAATAAAAATGATCTTAAATCACCTCACAATAAAAAAAACAGCAATACATATGCACATTACACACAAAATTTAAAATGTTTATTTAAAAAAAGAATAGAAAAGCAAAATAACTGGCAATCTAAAATAAAAGTTGACCCTATTATCATACAAATTGCTGGTGAACAACCATATCCTTCACAACTGTTTGTTGTCTTCAAGAAGCAAGCAAGGGGATCAGCCAAGCACATTTTAGAAGAGAATTTTGTAACTCGGAAGTTGCCACTAAGATGCTTTGCCTATGAGTTGAATCTTCCCAGCTGATCTTAAAGAACAGGTAGATGGTATTGAGAGAAACACCATTTTAAGCAAAGAATGTATTCTAAGCTGCTTAGGGCTCTATAAACTAAATACCTTAAACTGGTTCTGGCAGCTCACAAGCAAACCGTGTTACATGGTTCTTTTTAGTCACCTTACTTAAAGATCAAAAAGCTGAGTCTTACACTACAGTGGTTGCAGCTTCTGTAGTCTTCAAGGTAACTCCATATAAAGAATGCAGCCAAGAGATTATTAGGATCCATTCAGCTGAAATCCTACTTGTCAACTAGCCAAAGCTTCTTGCTACTGGAATAACCTATGCTTCTGGTAACTAATTAGAACACCAAACTACTGTACACAGCTGTTATTTCAGAGGAAGTGCTCCTTATCCAAGATAAGCCAGTTTCCTAAATCTCAGCCTTGAGAAACATTCATCCAAATATTGTACCAACTTTTAGGTAGTTCATTTCAATTTCTTGGTCTTCAGTCTATCATTACTTTCCGGAAAGTATCGGATAGTGTCAATATACATATCAGTCCTGCGGGTATAAATGAAACAATTTTATTGAGCTTCCAATACTCAACTTAATAAACTATTCCAGCAACATGCTATGATCAGTAGTGTCAATGCTTGACGATAAATCCCAGAAAATCTAAAACACCTGAGATCTCAGTGGGGGCAAGTAAAGCTGATTCTATGCCAGTGGTGGTGAACCTATGGCACGCATGCCAGAGGTGGCACTCGGAGCCCTCTCTGTGGGTGCACATGCCATTGCCCCAGCCTTGCTTCCTCCCATGACACCCTCCTCACCAGCAGCCCCCCTGGAGGAGAGTCACCCCAGAGTGTGGCCCACGCGGAGCAGCACAGCCAAGGACATGGCAGCCAGGCAACATAGACAAGACTCTGCCCTCATACCCCATTGCGCACAGCTGATGCTGTGGGGCGCAGGCAGAGGGGCATGGCCACAATGGTGCTGCTGGGCTGCCTGGGCGATCTGCAGTGGGCCCTGGAGGTAGTGAGTGGCCCTGCGGGCAGGTGGGGTGGGGGCAGGGCAGGAAGTGGAGCGAGGGCGGGGCCAGTTTTTGGGCACTCGATCTTTAAAAAGTTCGCCATCATTGTTCTATGCTATATTCAGGCATGACATCACAGTGAAATGAATCTAGGTAACTGATTTCTTCCAAACTTGCTTGTAACTGGATCATCCTCTCTAATACCTAATTTGAGAAAAAAACATTTACCAATGGAAAGTAATTGTCCAGAATCTCAGGGTCTAAGAAAGGTTATTCAAAGTAGGCCAAACAGTCACCTTCTTTAAGGCAATGGGCATCTAAAGATTTATTAACTATCATCTAGATCCAATTAATAAGACATTCCTTACTAAATCCAACAGTTGCAATGGACAAACATCCAGAAACCCAGCTAGGGAGATCACTGAGAAAACCAGGTAGTGAAGTTGCCCTCTTTCAAAGTCATGTGTTCCTTTGTTACTCCCTTTATAAGAATTTATTCTTAAATAACCTTTACCTTTCCCACCCTGAAGAGGCAAAGAGCACAACTTCTATTTATTGCTCCTCTTGTCTGATAAGAACCCAATTAATCCTCTCAGATTGCCTACCTTGGTGCCTTTATTTGGTTTAGTCACCTTACTAATAGCTAAAGACTTAAACATCTTATCTATTTACTTGTATTTTATGTTATTATGGCACTCTTTCTCTTGTATGTTATTTTTATTCTTTGCTATTTGTTTCACATTTACATTTACTATTTGTATATATAGTTTCATTTTGTGGATGTTATCTTGATATTCTCTAGTCTTGTGGCTGTGATAAATGATTTGATCTGATGCTCCATTGATAACCTGCAATATACGAGGGATAACTGGACCTTCTGACCTATGCTTAGTCATATGAGTAATGAGATTTGCACTACTTGCACTTTAGCAGTTTACATTTTGGCTTCCTTGCTTAGAGCAGCTCAGAAAACCAAGGGCCCTGTCATAAATGAAGATGGGTCCCTACAGGAATAGCAGCAGCAATATTTATTAATTCTCTGACCCATTGTGATATTAAAGCCTCAAAGAAATTATCAGCAATTATAATTTGAGGCCCCTCACCAAGCATTTAAGAATCTATCCGAGTTTGTTCTCTGAGGAAGGTCTCTCCGGTTTACCTCCTGGGCAGACATGCTCCCTCACACCCAGCTCAAATCTTACTGCATGTCTGCTTACACTGTTGTTTTCTTTCCAAGAACATACGGTATTTCAATTCTGACAGATGTTACAGGAAGGGGCCACAAGTTCTGGGAGTGATATTAAATCCTCACCCTCTCCACTGATGGTGATAATCCTATCTCCTTCTCTATGTCTCAGAAAGGACACACATTTGCACTTCTGCTGACAGTGCAGATGTTAATGTTAAAACATGGTGTAGACATGTGGGGAAAGAAGAGAAAGCCATTAGTGATACTGTACTGGCAACCATATGCCCTCCAGGAATTTTTCCCATGACTTCACAACAGTATTTCTGGACATACCAATGCACACATACATTTAATAAGGGCTAGAAAAAAAACCTTTGCTTTAGTTAACGGTGCCCTGTTTAAAAACTATTTAAAAGTGAGCAATATTAAATATATTCTAAAAAAAGAAATCATTATTAAACTGTGCCAGCACCGAGGCTTTTGTTATTTAATTACATTAAGTCAACTTTTACTATTCCCTTTTAAGTTGGGCCTATGCTAATGCCCCAGTTGCTGGCAAATTATTAGTTGTTCTGCAACAATAGAGGTACTATTACTCTTCACCTCCCTCCAATGTTCCCTCTAAGGATTTGTGATAATTACCATTTTTCAAGCCATAACAAAGCTCTCATTTCTAATCCATAATTCACCACAACTGATATAGAAAGGAAGGAGCCAGCATTTTATGCAACCTGCTAGGTTACACACTCACTACCTTCTGCTACAGCTGTTTTCCTTCTCCTACCTACCTGGAGGCTGGACAAGGCAGAACAACACAAAGGAATTTTTATTCTTTTCCTTCATTTAACTATACTAATGTTTTATTCTTTTTTCCCATTTAACTATGCTGGTGTAGGGGGAAAACTAGCACTGATGATGTTATCTAGTTTGGGTAATGAAACATCTGCAAAAAAACAAGCAAGCTCAGAGAACCCCAAGGACCCTTCAAACACTACATGTCAGGCCTCCAAAGTAAAAACTGATGCTCTAGAACAGACATGTCAAACTCGCGCAATGTATCGGGACAGTTTTGTCATTGCCAGCAATGGGGTAGGTGCGGCTTCCGCATGACACCCCTGCTCTAGAATAGAAAATCCAGAAAACCAGAAAACCAGAATTGAATCAAATATATAGAAAATTACCTAATCAAAGAACAAGAAGTGTAAGTATCATTTCTGAAGGGATATGAAAATTAGAAGAGTTCAGGAAGACTGAAAAAGGATTTTCACCATTCAACAAATAGTGAAACAAAAGGATATTTTTGTGCAAGCAAAAATGTGAATTTAAACCTTTAAGGTTTTAACAAAAATCAAATTATTTGGAAATAGCCTTGCACAATGCTAAATATTCTAACTGTAAGTATTAAAGTCAAGGTTTGAACCATCAAGCTATTAAAATTTATAAAAGGTGAGTAATTTTCAGATCAATGAGTTTTGTTCTTTCACTAGCCAAACAATCAACTCTGAACAGAGAACATTTTTCAAATGAACCCTTAAATATGATCTCTTGTTCCAAAATTGAGAAAACAATTTTGTGTGCATTTGAGGCAGAAAATACAGGCCAGAAAATCTAAGTTCCCAAAATTGTCCACTGAAGAACATGTCAAACATCAAAACAAACATAATGTATAAACCTCTGGCAATTTTAGAGAGCCAGATTGAGAAAGGAATCCTGTAGGGTTTGTGTTCCTAAAATAGCAACGGAAATGCCAACAGGCCTGAGCACTCTACAGCGCGGGAAGGGAGAGAAGGACCTTTGCTGGTGGGCAGATGGTCACTGAAGTTCAAGTTTCAAGGATCCTTTAGCAGCCCATTTCCCAGTTCTGCAAGGTGATCCAGCAGATGTCACAGGAAGGGGACATTAAGGGGATGTTCAGCTGCCCCTTTAAGGAGACTACACGGCATGACGCCAGAGCAAAGGAGCAGGAGGATCAAGAATCCAGCTCCTAGTGGCTCCTGTGACACTGCAGGGGGGGGGGATATATGCCTGGGGTCTGCCGGATATACCAAAGGACAACGAAGCCAGCGGCTGCTTTCCGGTGAGGGCTATCTACGGGACATAAGCTATCTACGGGACATAAGCAGGGGTAGGGTTTGCAAACCTCCCTGTGTATCCACCCCGCTGTCCACACGCCCAACTCATCTGTCCAGTACCCCTCTTCACGGCTTCCCCTGCAAAGGGTCAACTTCAAGAAATCCATGCGTGAAAACAAAGTCTGATCGCCCAAGCTTGGCTGGCGAAATTCTCCCTGCCTGCTTCCCCCACCCCGCCCTGCTCCCCATCAGCGGGGCAATCGGCCTTCATGCCTGCCGTCCCTACTGCAGAAGGAGCCGCTTCTGCCGCCCCCGCGCTCAGCAGACAGAGCCCAGCTGCTGGCGCAGTCCATGCCCGAGGGGCGCCCTCACCTCCTTCAGCTGCTCCATCTCGGTGCGGATGGTCTCGTACTCCAGCTCCAGCTCCTCGTATTGCTGCTTGAGCTGCTGCTTCTCCTCCAACACGACCAGCCCATACTCCGCAGCCTGGATCTTCTCCCGGGTGGTTTCGCCCAGCTCCTGGAAGAGCCGCTTGATCTCGGCGCGCAGCCACTCGGGCTCCGATTCCATCACCAGCTTGGCGTATTCTTCCTCTTCCATGGCTAGAGACATCTTTGCAGCAGGCAGAGGCGGTCAGAGGGGGGTTTCCAGACCGGCAAAAGGAAGGAAATGCGGCAGGGAAAGCAAGCAGAAGGATGGATCCCGCGGCACCCTCCGCCCCCTCAGCACCTTCAGAACCCCGACAGTCCCCCGGCCACCATGGCTCTCTCCTCGCCAGCGCCACTTGCTCGGCGTGCCATTAACCGGGAAGGCTCCTTGGCTCCTCGATCGCCCGGCGCTTACACCATGATTCCTGCCCCCGTCTCTTACTGCGGCTGCGAAACTCCCTGAGAATGTAAACCGCAGTGAAATCATTCAAAAGGAACGGCCAACCAATTGCCCCGCGGCATTATAGGACTTGTAGTCTTGGCTCCTTGCAGTCAAGCCCAGCTGGAGTCTTTGAAGACTACCATTCCCATAATGCACAGGGAGGCAGCACAGATGGATTGCAAGCTCCGGCCTCTTTAAGGAATTTTTTTTGTACAGGAAGAATCAATCTGGCAGCCGGCGCTCTTGTTATCCTCAGTGCAAGTACGGTTTGTGTCAAAGCGCCTTCCGTTTGAATACTGACCCCTAGAGGCCATTCCTAGTAGAGTCCGCGTATAGAGACGTGGGGACGAGGAATCGGGTTCACTGCAGGAGACTTATCAATTGTCCATTCTTGCACTGGTAGCTGGCACAGCCTGTGATAAGATTTAAGCTAAAATTTTGCAGATGCTTAAATAGCTGCACGTTTGTTTGAAGGGAGAGGAACTCTAAAAATCAATAAAGTCTTAGTTTATATCTAATTGGAAAGAAGTTGTTAGTAGAACCAATATTAGATTGGGTATGAACATTCAGATGCAATACAATATGCTTGCAGCACTGAATTCTCCACTATGAAGTAAAGCACCAGGGAGATTGCAACTGCCGATCTCAAAATGCTTCAGAAATTATCAATGGCTTTGCTTAACCAAATCATTATTTACTAGGTTCACATGACATACTGAATCATAATCACACTGGCTAATTTCACACAACATACTAAATATGAACAAGCCATATCAGCCATATGTCAGCCAGGCTGAAACAAACATTTGATGGTTTGGTGATGGTGCAGCCCTTCTGAAAAATCAGCATCTGGTATTTTTAAGTTAGAACAAGGAAATACAACAGGAGTGCGTTAAATTACGCATAGCATGGAAAAAATTAAGTAGTTTTTTGTCTTATGTCATAAAAGCAGTAAAATCTAGAGACACTCAACCAAAGTAAACAGTGGGAGATGTCAAGACAAATAAAAGGAATGTCTTCCTTATCTAGTACAAAGGTCAGCAAAGAGTTTGCTTCAGAGATGTTAGTAAATCGGAAGTTTTAAAGAAATATAAATACTTTGCCAGAGATAATACTATAAATTTGACCTGTTGATTGACTGCTTAAAGTAGGGTATCAACTGCATTTTCTATGGGGGAAAAAAAGAAGACTAAGCGTAATATTGTATTGATGTCCTGCTTGTGAACCTCCCAGGAAATGTACATTTCCTCAGGAGTATTCTTAGGAAGGCGCTGACTTTTGAATAGTGCCTTATGTACATTTCCTAGTAAAACACTGTTTATGGGAAAATCCCACTGGGAGGAAATTCTACTTAGGGTTAGGATTAGTTCTTCATGAATTCATGGAGCAAAATGGACATCGCCAATGGATTCATAGGTCAGAGGAATGTTTAGGAGGGTAATGACCTTATGAGCCGGCCTTATCTATGTTTCCTTGTAAAATACATGGGAAAATCCCATTGGGGAAAAAAAACCCACTTAGGATTAGCTCTCCATGAATTCAGAGAGCAAAATGGACATTGCCATTGGGTTCGTAGTGCATCGGTATACTGAGGAGGAGGATCTTTCGAGCCTGCCTTATTTTTGATTCTTGATAAAATATATTGGAAAATCCCATTGTGCAAAATGGACATTGCCAATGGATTCGTACCTCAGTGGAATGCTTAGGGGAATGATGACCTTCTGAACCTGTTTTATCTCTGTTTCCTGGTAAAATACATGGAAAAATCCCATTGGGGAAAAAATTCACTTAAGGTTAGGGTTAAGTCTCCGTGAATTTGGGGAGCAAAATGAACATTGTGAACAGATTCATAGGATGTTGGTATATGTAGGAGCACGATGTCCTTTCGAGCCTGCTTTATCTACATTTAAAATACATGGAAAAATTCCATTGTAGGGGAAACCTACTTAGTGGTAGAATTGGGTCTCCATTTATTTGGAGAGCAAAATGGGTATCATCATCAGATTCATAGCCAGGCAGTATGTTTAAGAGGACTCTGAGTTTTGAGACTGTCTTAGCTACCTTTCCTAATAAAATACATGGGACAATCTCATTGTGGGGAAATCCACTTAGGGTTAGTGTTAGGTCTCCATAAATTTGTAAAGCAAATTAGACATTGCCAATTGATTTATAGGAGCGTGGTCAGTTTTTGAGCCTGCTTAAACATTTCCTGGTAAAATATAAGGTAAAATCCCATAAAATATAAGGTAAAATCCCATTGGGGAAAAATCCTTAGGATTAGAATTAGATCTTCATGAATTCAGTAAGTAAAATGGACATTAACAATGGATTCATAGGCATCTGTATGCTTAGCAGGGTGCTGTCTTTTTGATCCTGCCTTTATCTTCATTTTGTTGTAAAATACATGGGACAATCCAAATAGGGGTCAAATCTGCTGAAGGTTTAGCCTTTGGTCTTGATGAATTCTGAGGGCAAAATGGATATCGACATAAAGAGGCAGAATATGGACCTGGAATCAGTCTTTTTATCTGATTCAGCATAATCCTTCTTTTATACTCAGAAGTGGCAGGAAACTAAGACGATGGATGCCTAATAAATCAAAACAAGCACACCTGAAGATTACATCAGGGGACTTTTGTTGTCCCTGCCCCTGCCCAAGGCCTTTGGAAAATACTTTAATCTTCTTCCTCTCAATCATTTTGATCCAAACTGATCTAAATATTTGAAGCATTCCTTTTAATAATGTGGTCTGCAAGTTGTAGCTTCAGACCCAGGGGCTGTTCTGGCTTACTAATTCCTGGATTTTCTTAGTTTATGATGAGATTTATTATGTGAATGTATAACACTCTCATTTTTTATTTGTTATTAAACTCACCTGAAATGAAAATACAACAGAATAACAGAGTTGGAAAGAATCTTGGAGGTCTTCTAGTCCAACCCCCTGATCAAGCAAAAAACCCTATATACCATTTCAGAAAATGGTTGTTCAATGTCTTCTTAAAAACTTCCAGTGTTGGATTCACAAGTTCTGGAGGCAGGTTGTTTCACTGATTAATTGTTCTAACTGTCAGGCAATTTTTCCTTAGTTCTAGGTTGCTTCTCTCCTTGATTAGTTTCCATCCCTTGCTTCTTGTCTTGCCTTCAGGCGCCTTGGAAAATAGCTTCACTCCCTCTTCTTTGTGGGAACCCCTGAGATATTGGAACACTGCTATCATGTCCCCCTTAGTCCTTCTTTTCATTAAACTAGACATACCCAATTCCAACAACCATTCTTTATATGTTTTAGCCTCTAGTCCCCTAATTATCTGTATTGCTCTTATCTGCACTCTTAGAGTCTCAATATCTTTTTTACATCATGGCAACCGAAACTGGATGCAGTATTCCAAGTGTGGCCTTACCAAGGCATTGTAGAGTGGTATTAACACTTCACGTGATCTTGATTCTATCTCTCTGTTAATGCTGCCTAGAACTGTGTTGGCTTTTTTCACAGCTGCAGCACACTGCTGGCTCATATTTAAGTGATTGTCCACTAGGACTCCACAATCCCTCTCACAGTTACTACTATTGAGCAAGGTACCACCTATTCCTGTGCATTTGGTTTTTCATGCCTAAATATAGAATCTTACTTTTTCACCATTGAATTTCATTTTGTTAGATAGTGCCCAATGTTCAAGTCTGTCAAGATCCTTCTGTATCTTAAGCCTATCTTCTGGAGTGTTGGCTATCCCTGCCAGCTTGGTGTCATCTGCAAATTTGATGGGTTCCCCATCTATCTCCTCATCCAAATAATTAATGAAGATGTTGAAGAGTACTGGGCCTAAAACAAAGCCTTGTGGTACCCCACTGCATACTTCCCTCCATGTAGATGCTGTTCCATTGAGGACCACACACTGAGCGTGGTTAGTCAGCCAGTTATGAATCCATCTGGTAATTATGCTGTCTAACCCACATTTTTCTATCTTATCAAGTAGTAGGTGTCTTACTGAATTCTATGTAAATTATATCCACAGCATTCCTCTGGTCTACTGATTTTGTCACTTTGTCAAAGAATGCAATAAGATTTGTCTGGCATGATCTGTTTTTGACAAAAACATGTTGGCTTTTGGTTATGACTTTGTTTGCCTCTAGGTGTTCACTCATTTGTTGCTTGATAATCTTTTCCACAATCTTCCCAGGTATTGACGTCAGACTGATAGGTCTGTAGTTTCCTGGTTCCATTTTTTTCCTTTTTTGAAGATGGGAACTATATTTTTTCCAGCCTCTGGTAGTTTCCCAGTTGTCCAGGATCTTTGAAAGATATAGTTCAGTGGTTCTGATATCATGTCTGCCAGTTCCTTCAGAACCTTGGGGTGTAATCCATCTGGTCCTGGTGTTCTAAACTCATCTACAGTGGACAGATGCTTACTTACCATTATCTTGCCTATGTTAACTTGTGTTCCTAATCTGTTTTTTATGGTACTGTTTTTGATAGGTTGGATTGTTTTTTCCTTTTGTGTAAAGACAGATGCAAAAAAAAAACAAGTTAAGCAGTTCTGCTTTCTCTCTGTTGCTTGTCATCTTCTTGCCATTTTCTCCCATTAATGGACTAATCATTTCCTTGGCTTTTTTCTTGTTTTTTTTATATGTTAAAAGAAGCTTTTTGTGCTATTTTTTACTTTTGTCACAAGCCTTAATTCATTTTGAGCCTTAGCTTGCCTCAGTTCATCTTTGCAGGCTTGGGCTATTTGCTGATATTCTGCCTTAGTTATGTGCCCCTTTTTCCACTTTTTATATTTGTCTTCCAGTTGATGTCAGGGTAGTTAAAGTCCCCCATTACTATTGTGATGTGCTTCCTACATACCTTAGTTAACTGACTAGTATATTAAGAAGTTTAATTTACTCCAGCCTTCTGTATTTAATTAGCATTGTTTTGTGATCTTAGTTCTGAGTGTACCTGTGGTGTTGGTTCAGATGACCTTTAATATCTTAATAGGTATTCAGTTAATTTCTTCTTTGTGTGTATCAGGCCCACCTGTCTTGATTTAATTCAATATTTGAGGATCTTCCAATATCTTATATAAAGTTTCTATGAGACCTCCATTAATGGGAATTGAAAATAAGTAGGTTGAAGGTAAACTTTGTAGAGAAAAATTGAGAGCCCAATAAAAGCCATTTAGAAATCTCCTAGGGTAATTTCAGCAGCTACTTTTGTGTTCAGATTTCAACTATTTTTTTAAATATATATTTATTTTGTTTTATCAACAAAAATGAAATATAAAACAGGAAAAAAAATACACCCCCCCTCAAAAAATGACCCGTATCAAATAAATTTAACATTAAACATATAGAATCCATGCCAGCTGGATGTTGAAAAAAAAACCAAAACCCAATGAATTTTCCTCTCC